ACCTCAAAGTGCACAAGCTTCAAACTTCAGTGTTGGTTGCGATTTTGAAGCTGAAATCGCGTTCGGTGTGAACGCACCATTATGGATATTTTAAAAACCTCATTTTCAAATTTATCTAACATGTCAGAGCCTATAGGATGATTTAAAAAACAATAAATATCATCAAACAGCCATCTTCCAATCTGTTCTGCCGCTAGAAATAAGTTACTTTTTCCTCTCTCCTTTCCTTCAGCAGGCGCTTTCATGTCTGCAGCTGACACCCCCCCACACACACACATACACCCCCGCGGGTGCGAGTAGTAAGGATTTTTTGCAAAATTTATGGATTTTTAGGGCTCTTTATACAGGTAAACTACTTTTATTCCTGATTTAAACTAGCGATCATGTGAGCAGTATGCTTTTATTTTTTTCTGTCAGGCTGTCGGAGCGCTCCTCCTCCTCTGCCAGAGGCTGGTGTGGGGTGAAAATCCTCCACCTCAGACGTTCAGTTATGTAACTGTCTGCGATACTGTGGTCACTTTCCATGTAGCATCAATTCTGCTAAGCTGTCACGTTCTCTCGTCCTGGCCACACCTCCGCTCTCTAACCCCACTTCCCCTACCCACTTTGATGCATTTTTCAAATTTCGCCTTGGGGCGGAGTTATCTTTTCACTGGGGGTAAGATACACTTTAACAAAACATTTCTTCTGAGTTTGGATTCACTGAGCTCCAGTCTCAAAGATCTCAATGATGACCAGATCTCAATGCAGTCGATCACCTTTAATTGTGGTGGAACAGTAGAYTCATTTCTTGGAAGTGCTGAAACATCTGCAGCARCTGTGTGATACTAYCMTGTCAATATAAATCACAATCCCTGAGGAATATTTCCAACAACTTGTTGAACCAGGATGTGAATAATTAGGGCAGTTCTGAAGGTAAAAGGGGACCAAACCCAAAACCAGGAAGGTGTAAATGACTGGTTAGTGAACACTGATGATATAATCTGGCTCATACCAAAAAAAATAATAATGATAATAGTGTCACCTTTTAATATATGGAGCATCCTCTGTGAAATCAAACACATGCAGCAAACCTAATTTATTTAACTTTCTCGTGAAAAAACAAAAAAGGTGTTAAAATAGCTCATTTTTACCTCTTGCTTAAGTTTCACTTGGAGTTATTTTAAAGGTATAAAATCACTTTTGAATGGTCCTGGCTCTGATTAGTTGTTGGCTGGTTCTCAAAACTGACATACCTCTGTCTGCAACAGGTAAGATACTGACTGTTCAGGGCTATACATTTGAACGTAAAAATAAGACTTGAAATATAGATATAATCTTTGTGTTTTGTTGCTAAATCACCAACTCCTAAATCTCAGCAGGTCTGTTCATTTGGGACTTATTTATTTTTAATCCATTTAACAGAGCCTGGTGGACTTCTTTGATCACGACTGAAAATAAAATAATGTGCTTGTTCAGCACAGTTTTTATATCCCTACTAAGTTTTTCAGGACGAGCTCAGAGTGGAGCCAAACTCGATCATCAAGAATCAGCTGAAGAGGTTTTGGTTCCTCCTGGACACAGTGAGGAGATACAGACCCTCTGTGTTGACCTCYGTTTAAACTGTGACCCGGAGGACCTTCTGACATTTCACAGGAGGACAAAGACCTGAAGCTAAATTGTATTTGGCAAGTTCCACATCTGGGTCTTGGTGTTATTTATATTAATGTTTAATATTTTCAACAAATTACAGTTGAGACAATGAGAATGAAAATGTAAACAAACATTTTGGTTTTGCTGAGCACTAATCCCAAAGTGGTGCCTCATTTCTACCAGATCATGTGTCACTAAACTCGTAATGTGTTTAATTATAGTTACCAAGGTTRTATTCTTCTCTTACTGTTGCAACACGCTCCTAGTTCAGAAAGCTTTTACACACTTTTCTACTCTAAATAAGTTATAATTCAGAACAGCTACAACTAAAAGAATTACAGACTGAATGAGTTTTGAGTTAATATTAGATAACCAAACCTAAAGTTGATCTGTTTTATTGTCAAAAAGCAGAGTCATGAGTTGTGTCTATTTTACAACCGTTTCAGATTTTATTTGCATTTTAATTTATTATTATCATTGTATTATTGTTAGTATGAAACATATAAAATGTTTTTGATTATGCACTAATGAGAAATATACACAATCTGTGGTGGAGGAAGCGAAAGGCAAAGTCATAAAAAGGTGAAGTGCCTAGTACACTTTAAAGAAATGCACATCATCTGACATGGTGCTATTTGTCGTAATTTTATGTTAGCAGATCTTGCGAGATCTCTTAATGCTCATATGTGTTGGAATGACTCTCAGCTGT